ATAGTCTTTATAGCATATTTCATTATAAGTAGTTTGTGAATGACTGGACAAATTTCTCTGGAGGCACACGACCCGTTCTTGCCGTTCATCAGGCATGCGTGCTTCCAGGGAAATTTGTCCAGTCATTCACAAACTACTTATAATGAAATATGCTATAAAGACTATCAAGTCAGGTTTGTTGTGGTTAGTAGCATCTAACCTGCTTACAAAAACATTGAATCCTAGCACTGATTCCTCAATGGACTGGCTCTGAAAGAGCTGTCTATCCAAACGTCACCCGGTGATGCATACAAGGTTATTCTGTCGAAAATATACTTCCTGGGTACAAGCATATGAATGAAGTGATAAAAGTTTGCCATATACGCATGCCTGATGAGCGGAAAGGACCGCGAAACCGATCGTGTGCTTGCTGGGAGGTTTTGTCCAGTTATTCATATGCTACTCATTATGAAATACACTTATATGATGAATAGAACATTATTGCAATGATATTGTATTTAGGTGATACGGTTGTTTACCGGGACATTAAATACTACAAGCTGCATTGTGCAATTCTTGTCATCACACGTCCGTAATAATGCCTTGTTTGACATGTTGATCACAACCTTCCAGACACGAAAGATTCTAGGAGTTTAGGAATGAGCAGCAATCCTTATTACCGGAAAACAACCAACGTGCAAAACTGATGTGCCGGAACTCACAAAACGAACTTTGTGTCCATCAGAAATAATATACAGTCGAAAGATTTGAGCGCTTTCGACCTAGACCGTCAATAAGGAGCGACTGTTCCGTTAACATTTACTCCAATATCTTCGTAACGGAATCAATGTACTATTTAACGAAATGGAACCAATTTTGAAATAGCTAAGTTGATAGGCTGGCTCCAACGAATTCAGGAAGTGTCGTTAAGTACAAAGCTATCTCCAAAATAAGAACTAGATAAAGATGATGATGTATGTAGCACTATATGCAAAAATTACAAAGGGATCAGTATTTCAGTCCATCTGATTTCCCATAAGAAAGTTTTTTATAGAAAGACTGTTTTTTTCCAGCGTCACGGGATCGATAAGACTGCGAGAGAAAACCCGGCTTTTGTCTTGGACGAGACCGCGTATCTTCGTCCAGGGGTTCTGGATTGTCTGTCCGCGATGGATCCCATCGTGCTACGCGTAGCAGACAATCAGGTACATTCACTAAACCGGTGGAACGCTGAACGAGTTGCAGGATACCATGGGCAACGGATCGGGACGAACGTGCTAACAGTTCATCGCTGACCACGGTGATTGCTTCTCCGGAATGACCCATCCTACCAGTGCGACCTATCCGATGCACATAGTCGTCCACCTCCATCGGGAGCCCGACGTTGACGACCGCACGCACATTCGGAATATCCAAACCACGAGCAGCCACCTGAAAAAGGAGACACTTGAAGGATAACACCATGTCACACGATTATCGATAGAAGTGAAAAGACGGAAATCAAATCGGCTCATGGACGGTTCAGAAAACCACAACACGAATTGAAAATACCAATAGCGTAAA